GAAGTATTCAGGACCCAGGATGGACACCTTCGCTAGCAATAGCTCTCTCTGTACGAGCGGCGCACCAGTATAGTCCAACACGGCCCAGACGGGTACGAGATCCTCCAGCTGCCGTCTCGCCTGCTCGACCACGCCATCTTGTCCTTGAAGCACGATGGTCATGCGGGAGAGGTCCTCTACCTCTGTATTGCATACAACGAGTGAGTCGATATTGAATCCTCTCGCCGCAAGAATGCCAGACACGCGGGAAAGCACACCAGGCTCATTTTGTACGAGACAGTTGAGAATATGTCTCTTCGGAGGAGCTTGCGAAGGTAAGGGAGTCTCGTAAAGAATAGAGGACACAGCAGCAGGAGCAGACCATGAAGGAGCAGAGTCGTCGTTTGTAGGCAGAGCACCGATACGGCGATGCAGTGCCTTGTAGGCGAGTGCGGAGGTGGAGGAGTTGCTGGAGAGGCGGGTCTGGTGGAGGAGCGGTATGGAGCGCTGAAGCTTAGTTGGAGAGAAGGAGGAGCGGATTGGCAGAGCGGAGAGCGCTCGCCGGGCCGCCATAGCTTGATAGGGCCTTTGGTTAGCTCAATTGATAGATATAAAAGCTATAAAGAAGCCGTTTGAAGACAGAGAGCTGGACGAGCTGATGACTCCGCAATAATTTTGAGCACATGGGGGAGACGTGCACGGACGGATCCTTGCAGGGATTCTCAAGCTCGGCCGTCGGGGACCCGGATGATCTTCGGCCCGCTGGCACTAACTGGATTGGTTTTTGAATCAACTGCCAGCAGCTTCTTCTTCAATCAACAAACACGCCGCCAGGAGCCGCGGCGCCCGACAAGCATCGAGGCTTCGATCATCACCTTTCTGGCTCCTCTACTTACTTTCAGATCTTGACAAGACTTCAACATGTCCGAGGAACCGCGCCGCAAGTCGCGCTTCGACCAGCGCGCGCCGCCCGAGCCCGTGCCGCGAGGAGCTCGATTCGACCGCCGCTCTCGATCTCCTTCCTCTCGACAGAACGAGTCTCGTCGTAGCCGAAGCCCGTGGCCTCGCGATTCCTCAAGCCCTGCGAACCCAGATCCGACGGTAGCAGCCGCCGCAGCAGCGGCCAAGATTAACGCGGAACTGCAAAAGAAGAGGGGCATTCAGCATGTAGACGTGCCTCCCATTCGCTCTGTTAGAAATACCTCACGCACAACAGGAAGTTGAAGTCGCTAACGAGAACGAGAGTGCTACTCCCGGTGCGTCCAAATCCCCGTCTGAGGACCCCGGTAAGGGCGAGGTTTACACTCAAGACGGCGATTACATGAAGGACATTGAGATCAACGATCTCCGCAACCGCTACATGCTGACCAAAGGCGCAACGCAAAAAATGGTAAATACATCTGTCATAGCCCACTGATACTCTCAGGACAAAGCCGCGCGTTTTCAAAGGCTTGACGCCGCTACCTTTTCCTTACCTGTCTCTGTAGTGTGTGGAGAGTTGAAGCTTACACATAGTGTTTCAGCCGTTCACGGTACACCATTTGCATCAGCTGACCTTACTTGTGTGACATCTAGATCAAAGAACAAACTGGCGCCGGTACGCTACTATCCTAACGCAATATACAACGTTTCATAGGGAATATGACCCGCTGATCGCTTGTCAAAGATGTCACTACTCGAGGCTCGTACTGGCCGGATAAGTCGATGGCTAATTCAGCTGTACGTGAAGATTTGGATTCACTCTTTGTTATGTTACTAATTCTGGATTAGAATCCCCCGCTCTACCTTCACGTCACCAGCACGACCAAGGAAGGTCTCGACAAGGCCATTGCTCAGATCGAGGAGCTCAAGAACCAAGAGCTCCCAAACCTTGTGGATGAACGTCGCTTCCGCCGTCGTGAGCCGGAACCATTTGAGCGAGACGAGCTTGGCCGAGTAAATTGGTAAAGCCCTGGTGTCATATAAGTTGCTGACCCCTCTATAGCGCAAGTGGCCGGAGGAGCGTATTCCGATCGACCTTGAGCCAATCCCTGGCTTCAATCTGCGTGCCCAAGTTGTCGGCCATCAGGGAACATACGTCAAGCATATTCAGCAGGAGACGAAGTGCCGAGTTCAGATCAAGGGACGAGGCTCTGGCTTCATCGAGAACAGCACTCAACGTGAATCTGATGAGCCGATGTACTTGCATGTTGCGTAGGTTATCCTCCATCCTTTCTACTGCATCATACGTGCAGCACCTGCTTACATTATCACAGTGGACCTGATCCAGACATGGTGGCGGAAGCTAAGCAGCTGTGCGAGAGCCTTCTCGAATCCGTTCGCGGTCGCTACGAGGAGTTCAAGGAGCGTGGCCCTCAGGAGCGCTACGGCGGTGGAGGCAACCACTACGGCAACGGCAATCGCGGAGATCGTCAAAGCTATCGTGGCGATCGTGGAGGCTATGGAGGAGACCGTGGAAGTTACAGTGCTGGCGGATATGGAGGTCAAGGAAGTCCCGACGGCTACGGTACTCAGGGTGATTACGCTCAAGTAAGTCCAACTGGCGCCGTCCATCCCGGACCAGATCCCAGCCAAGGTCAAGCACAAGGACAAGAAGATTACGGAGCACAGTGGGCCGCGTACTACGCAGCGAATCCCGGAAGTGACCCGTATGCAATGTACGGCGGCTATCAGAACTACGTGGCGTGGTACCAGCAGCAGTACTACCAGCAAGGAGTGCAGGGCGGACAGCAGAGCCCTCCTGCTGCAGGTGGTGTCCCGCCACCACCGCCGAGCGAGGCTCCTCCACCGCCTCCGCCTCCGCCACCGCCTGGATCTGCGTCTGGCTCATACAACGCTGTGCCGCCGCCACCGGGCATGTAAGTGACTGCTTCATGAGTCGTAAATGGGGATTACAGGCATTTTGGCTAGGATGACATTAGCCATCCATTGGGAAATCAGGGTGCCAACAAGACTGTGCTTTTAGTTTGACTTTACTTCACTTTGACGGCCATAGTGATATCAATAAGTATAATACAATCAGTGGCTCAACTCTCAATCTTCTTATTATTCAAGCAACACGGCCAATTGAGTACGACGTTTGTCATTCTTGGGGACTCAGGTACAAACCAAGACTGCTTTAGGTTCACTTCTTCAGGGTCGATAGGCCCGTTTGATAAGCTACACAGGCATCGGAAAGGCCACGGCGGTGCTGTGGTCATGAACACGACAGAAATTGTCATAGCTAGGTGTGCAGAGACGAGTGGGCTCTGTGTATGATGTGATGGATGCTCAGTGATCACGGGACGTGGGGTGATTAACCACCGCTGTTTGCCTTAGTATAGACGACGCGTCTCGTCGCTTTACTCACACATTTAGTCTAGCAGACGGATAAGTCTAGAATATCGCTAAGTTTCTAGCTCGCTAAGGAGACTCTAGCAATAATCTAATGGGTCTCGATGGTCACGGAGCAAGACGACCTCGTCACGTAACGTTTGCCTTGGCAGTGAAAACACCTTTCGTCGCTTCTCTTAGAGAGTTGATCTTATAAGCAGAAACGCCCCAGATCTTGCTAAGTTTCTAGCTCAGTAAGGAAACTCTAGCTATAATCCCACTGATGCTCGATGACGGCGGAAGGAAGGAAAGAGAGGGTGTAATCAACCCCATGAACCATGCTCCCGCAACAGGAGAGTGAGCGGCTAGAGTTCTTGGACGGGATGATATTTGACGTTCGAAGATGTGTGAAGGAGGATCACGATACACGCGGTATCAAGCGAGTGTATGTTCGGCGTTACAATCGTTGGAGAGTGAAGAGATCGGAAACATTTATAGAAGACGATAGAGTATCAATAGCCCAACGCCGCGGTCCCGATGTGTGACTCTGAGGGCCGAAATACCGTAGATCGCTCCAAAGAAACATTGTCCGAAACTAGAGCTACGCCCCTATTGCCTCCTGGTTCCAATGCAATAGCAGGCCGAGAACCGAAACATTTCTCTCGAACCCGCTCGCCGGACCGCAACGCTTGATCAGGGCGCACATCTTCGGCGCGACTGTCCTTTGAGGCTTCATAAACCCTCAACAGATTCTCTGCATGAATTTCCATCGACGTAACAACAAAGGGACTGCTTGGGCGCCTTATGGCAGAGCTGTGCCAAAACACCCAGCCGAAGCCGGTGCTGGGGTGGCCAGAAATGACCGCAAATCGTCGCTTAATAGACTAGTTTGAACTTTATCATATCTGTCCGTGTAAAGGATATCGAGAAAGAAAACCATGGCGCGAGTTATCCAAGATGGTATCCTTTCGTCCTGAGTCCTTGCTTCTCTTCTGAAGACGGACGATAGAACTTCGTACCCTTGGTCAAGCTTCACACACGCGCGTGCGAATTCCCAGTATATGTCATGGGCAGGCTGAGCATAATTCAGTTGTAGGACAGACCGTTCCTCTGCAATTGCAATCAAAGCGATGATCTGGTCGCGACCATCCGAGCAATTTGCAGTGTGGAACTTATCAAGGAGCTTCAGGATCGGGTTGGAGCGTCGTCCGAGCTCAAATGTAGAGTACGCTTGATCAATAAGTGCTGCTCTATCTTGGCTCCTCTGGCGGACCAAGCGCAAGCTGGCTCCGAAGGTAGTCCAGTTCATTTTTAAATGGCCGCAGTGTATCACGGCATCTTGACTGAATGCCACCTCTTGCAACATCTCCTAGTGAACCAAGCTACATTAAGGAGACAATCGAGTTCGCCGGCATTTACCTCCTCAAACCTGGATGTCACAGAATTTCGGTATTACCGCTGCAGATTCATACTGGGTCCCGTGAGTTCTTCAGATTCCGTGAACAATGTTGAAGTATGTTCCGTCTGCTCTCCCAGCCAGATATGGACCCTTTTCGCCCATACAGAGCACTTGCACTCCTTTCTCCCTCTCATCCCTCAGACATAGCCGACTGAAACCGGGCAAATTGATTCAGGAGGTTGCACTAATGAAATGATATAATATTCCCCAAAAAAAAAAGAGAGGGAAGAAAAAAAATCGAAGAATTTAATGGTCAGTACGGGGGTCGAACCCGCGGCCTTGGCGTTATTAGCACCACGCTCTAACCAACTGAGCTAACCGACCCGTGTGTCGATGGGTGGCTGAAACAGTTTATGTTATATATAGCATGACTACTATCCGCACTAAGATCGGATTATCTCTCCTTGAGCGGTCACGTGGGTGACGAAATTGATGAGTCAATTCTATTTTGTCAAGCATAACGCTCAAGCTACAACGAATATTAAAATTTACAAAATTGAACAAAAAAATAGTTTAGGTTCTCCTTATTTCAAATACCTACTTAGAAAATAAAATAAGCGTTGTTTGTAAGGATATATTATCGTGCAAAAAGTGAGCGCATTGGCGGCCTTCTAATTAGAGAAGTTGGGCTGTCCCAGGCATACGATACGGCTTCGTAGCGCCCACGACGCTGCCTTAAAGCACTTCGTTCCCTGTGTACAATCTTGCATCGTAGAGGGTCCGAGAAGCCAGCCGCCGGTTCGAGGACGAGCAGTCGTACGGAGTCGTCCATCTCCAAAGGCCGATAATGGTAGAGACGGCTGAGCGATGGATCATCCATGTAGGGAAGTGTGCGTCCAGGCCAGCGCAAAGCATCGCAGCTGTGGCTGAAAACGCTTCAGCAGCGAAGAGTGGCATGTTCAGCCTTGCGTCTGCTTCCATCTTGTCGTAGGCAGGCGACGAATAGGATAGCTGCTGCACTCCGATGTACTAGCTAGAATGAATCCAGGCACTGCCTCAGCGACATCCCTGAACATGTCGCCTCTTTGTTTGCTTGTCGTTGAGACACTATGTCTCCATACTTGGAAAAGGCGTCTCTATGCTTGAGAGGCATCAGCATCTGTCTAACATCTGTCGTGTTGTGCCGACAAGTTTGCGCACAGAGCATGTTCCGCAGAGTGAAACTGCTTCTTTCAAGTTCGCTTTAAAATAAATACGCGAAATTGAATGAAGAAAGTGGAGTGGATAAGCCAGTAGAACTCGAAGGCTGGTATGAGCTCATGAAAAGAAAGCGGACTGAGTAAATGAGCTTAACGTCCGTGAACGGTGCGAGGGCGGGAGAGAAGGTAGTACAGCTCTGCAAGCAAGACGAAGGTAATAGAACAAGGATATCTCAATTAAAGGTGCAAAAAATTTAACAGTATGCTTCAGTCATAAACATTCCAAACGAGGTAGAACTAGACCTTCACGCGGTAAGCCCGAACGGATCAAATCATTCGAGGCAGCGCTCAGCCTACCTAGGTAGCGGCTTCGGTGTATAGAGTTCAGAATTATCAGGGCAGACAAGTTTTGCAACGGTATGCCATTGCCCTATATGCTCTAAAGAACGCAAAACTGAGCTTTCAGAGATAATCTCGCATACTTGATATATACTCCAATGAACGCAGAACCAAGCTTTCGGAGATAGTCTCGATAATCTTGAAGAGCAAGAGCTACTCGCCCATAGGCGTTATAGCTCATCCGGAGGCCAACTGTTTTGTCAGCCTCGAGCCACAATATCTATCTGACCTACTCCTTGAAAGAATTCCAATACGAAACGCTCAGGCTAAGACATTGCGCCGTAAAACACCGAGTGGCCGCCCAAGAGAGTTTGCAGAAAACCGCGCTTCGAATGCTGTATCTACAGAAATAGAAGAGGGATATCGCGCATGACTTGACTGCCGTTAACAAGAGAAGTAAAACCATCATCTAGCTTCATAGATTTCTCTGTCATCGCGTGAACGCTGCCGCCATCACCAAAGTCTATCCTTATCCCTACCCTTACACCTGCGCGTTCTCCGCCTGTAGTATTTCATCGCCCTCATGCTGGAGAGTGTGGATGACTTTCTTCAATGTCTCGAACGTCAGCATGGTCGTCATCGCTGCCGGCACAGCGCGAACCATGTTCGTCCCCATGCCATTGTAGAACGCGCGCCACCCTTCTTCTTTCCATATCGTTTGGATTGTACTTATTACGCCTCTGTATCGAGGACGAAGGTTGATCATGCCGTCGGAACTCGCGGTGCCATGTGCACGCGTGCGGTAGTTCCCGCCAACGCCACCGCGGAACGAGACGTCTTCCGATGCGTGGGCGGGCCATGTGCGCTGCTGCGTCTGTAGGCGTGTACGCAGGACTTCGTGCGGGTATGTAGCGCTTGTAGCGCAGATTTTGGAGAGGAATGTAGCTGCTAATATGCCGACAAAGTGCGTTTTATCGTCAGAGCTGGTAACTTGGCCCATCTCGAGGCCCGTAAACTCCTTTTTGAAGTACTCGTACAGTGGGAACTGAATGGCCACATGGGTAAGGCCAAGCAAGGCGGGTGCAAGGCCCGAGTAGAAGACACGCAAGCCCTCGGCGCGGTACATTTTCTTAAAAGCGTCGAGTGTGCTGCGGTAGTGCCAGGGCGTGCGGGCCTCTTTGGAGGCGCGTGAGGAGACTTGCGCCATGAGGCGGGTCTTGATGACCCAGATGGGATTGGTGGCCATAGTGGAGCAAGCGCCGGCGGTGATGGAGGCGTTGATTCGGGCTATCCATTTGTTTTCTGGGAGTGCGGTGGTTAGCGGGATTACAATGCTCAAAGTTCTAATCTTGGCGGCAAAGCTCACCCATCTTAGTGTAGTAGTAGTCTTTTGACTTTTCATAAACGGCCATATACACCGCCCATGTCGGAAGATAGCCCAACAGCATCGGCCCCAGCCCTCTGTACATTCCCCTTACGCCATCCTCTTTCCAGATGACCCTCGCCGTGCCTATCAAGCCATGATATAACTGACCAGACGTCGGTGGTCTTCTTATAATGTCCGACTGTCTGAATGAACCTTGCGCTTGCAGTCTCGTCTTAATGACGTCGAGGGGGCAAGTGACGATGCCGGAAGCAACGCCCGCAACGGCGCCGCTGAAGCTGTTGATGTAGGTGGGAGAGAGCTTTGCGCAGAATACTGCAACATTTTGTCTTGGAGTAGTAACTGATCTGTTTCCTGTTCTCGTTTGTCGCGTTGTGCCCCCGGAGTCTTCCACGGACATTGTAAGCATTGGAGGCAAGGCCTAGAGAACGGTGGTCCCGGGGAGCGCGACCATTGGTGTTTGAAGAGAGCGAGGTATCGAGGATCTGTATGTGGAATTGATGGCGTGTCTGTCGCGTGCTTGTGTGCTGCTTGTAGCCCACTCCTCCTCTTACCCTGGCTCTCTGGTCTTCTCGGTGTGCGGAAGCCCCGCAGCACTCGAGCGACGCAATTGCTAACGATCCAGAAGCTCCATTGAGTGGCCGCACCGGCTGGCAAAGGTGTATGGAGAATGAGGGCTGGTGTGCTGGAAGGTGAGAGGCTGTCCGGGCCGCAAGCGCAGCGGTGATGAAAAAGGAAGATATGATGGCAGGCGGGGGAGACGGTCTTTGATGCGCACCTTCCTCCGGTCACTCGCTGCCCCGATTCCTGCACCTCCCGCGCTTTTCCCGCTACCGCGCGGAACTTGCCGGCTCGGGAGCTGCGTGAGAAGAAGCACTTCAGACCATCCCGACCTGTCCACACCCAACTTTACAGCACCGCGGCCACCACTCTCAATCGCTCCTTGAGGCCGCAGCAATCATGTCCCAGCCGTCCCTCGCAAAGTTCGTGCTCAAGAGGCCGTGGCTGAAGCGGTGGATGCAGCCCATCTCGGACTGGTACCTGGCCAATGCAGGCTACAGGTCTCTCGGTTTGAGGTAAACAGCTCCTCAATGTTAACCCATTGGATCCTGGAAAACGTTCTTTTTGAACGTCTAGCCGTCGTTTCATGGAGAGCTGATTTTTCTGTCACGACAGGGCCGATGACCTCATCCCCGAGGAGAACGAAGTCGTTCAGCTTGCCCTCAAGCGTCTCCCCCCGAAAGAAGCTTACGACCGAGTCTTCCGCATGCGCCGCGCTTTCCAGGTACAAAATACTTGCAATTGAGACCGGACATGTATACTGACAGGAGAAAAGTGCTCGCTTGCCCATCAACTCCTCCCTAGAGCGGAACACACAATGCCCGAAGATGTAAGGATCCAGCTCTGAATGAGATAGTCGCAGCCGTTGACAAATACCGTAGGATGTTCCGTACCTCACACCGTTAATTGAAGAGATCGAGGCCGAGATTAAGGAGCGTGAAGACCTGGACAGCATGGTGGTGAAGAAGCGATGATTCGGCAGCGGGCCGTAACCTTTGTACAGAAAACATTTCCTTTATCGAGGGCTATCTGCGGACTGCTTGCGCTGTAGAGTGTATCATATCATACAAGAAAGCCTTGTCTCAATTCGAAGTCTGCAAGTTGTCGTATCGTCGTACTGATGTTCTTACAGTTGTTGCCCTGTAATGAAACTCCGCATCCCCATAATCTCTATGCCAGGAAGATGCACGATTCCCGCTGAACGAGCGTCAATTTGATTAATCCTGGAGTCCCTTTCCAGTGAATTACGACATACGCATTAGGGCTCGCACAGCTTTACCTGTACTCTAATATGTATCGCGAGCCACAGCATCCCAACGTGGATAGCAACTTCGGTGCACGGTATTCGACGCCAATTGCATGTACCGCACAAGATACACATATACTTGAAGTCATCTGTGTTCAGCCAGACTTCGAGCATCAAACAAGCTTCAGTTCGGTTTACTCTGGAGTCTCTTTGAGCGAATTGCAACATATACGCGAGGACTTGTATAAATTTGCTCATGCTCCCGTATAGAGTGGACGCTGGATCATTCAAGCATGGCTACTAAGTCAGATATACCGTATTCGACTCCAACTGCAGGCATGAAAAGGAAGCCAGATACACGAAGCCCCTGATCATCCAGGCTTCGAGCATCGAACGAGCTTCAATTCGGCCGTATCTAGAGTCCCTTTCAGTGAATTTGACTTGTAGGCGATCATAATGTCTCACTCATCGTGGTGGGTGCAGAGGGCTCGACAGGAATACGGCCCTTCCTTCGCCCGGTGCTCTTCGCCACTGTCGGATTGCTCTTGCTCGCTATCAGGTTGGTCGATGACAGGGTGGTCTTGTCGACGTCGGCTTCGCAACGCGTACTGCACGAGATACAGAGATATTGGAAGTAATCTGTGTTCATCTGAAC